AGTATTGCCAAAGCAAAAAAAGAGAATTGTCTTGTGCGAAATATCTAATAAAATCATATCAATAGCCACAGTGTGTGTTTTTGTGTCTGCGAGCGAGAGCACACTGTGTCTCGCGTTCACACTCGCACATACTGAGAGATGAGATGAGATATTTGGGAGGTGGTGGTGTCTCTTTGACTGTGGTGCCTGAGGCTCTAGCACATGGGATGGGAGGTAAAACAAATGCTAATGTCTCTCAGCCAACTAGCACACATGTCTAGCAGAGGGGGGAGAAGAAAAAAAAGCGAGCTAGATTGGCACCTGTCTATTAGCATTGAAATCTACACTGTAGTGGAGTGTTGTTTTATCTGCTCATTGTTTCACAAGCTATGAAATCTGAGGTGCCAGGAAATTAATTACTCTCTTTGGGATATTTCTCTTTTTGAATGCTTTTTGTATCGATTGAAAAAAAGCCTGTGTGAGATATTGGCAGATATTTAGCTCTCTGGAATCTGAACATACTTTGAATAATGAGAGGCTCTTGCAGCTGCTATTATTTCTTGCAGCGGCCATCAGCAAATATCCGTGAGTGACAGCAAAAACCTGAATTCTAATAAGGATTTATCTTTAAAGGGTTAGCATCTGCAAATGCCTTAGCATGCATGCATTCAAGCACACGTTAATGTCTTGTGTGTGCGTGTAGACAAACCCGGAGCGGAGCCACTATCTGCTGTTCCTCATTCATTCCCACCACCTGATCTCCATCTGAATTGACAGCTGTAATGCTGACTCTTTTCATCCGTGTGCTACAGTTGAAAAGAGCCAATAACGGCAAACACAGCACTGCAGCACGCTAATGTGTGTGTGTGTGTGTGTGTGTGTGTGTTTGTGTGTTTGTGTGTCACTCACCCTGTATTTTTAACTCATCTCTACCAGAACTGTAATCTTGCCCATTGAACCTTCAAATTGTTGGATGTTACCTCAGAGAGAATTGGAGAAGAAGAAAAACCTTACCTATTGCCTATCATCACCTCTCCTACCTCTGTCAGACCTGTGTTTGCTATCTGCGGCTATTTTATTCTACCCGCTGCTTTATTTTTTATTTCAAATCTTTCCAGATTTGATTGGAATTCATGTAAAATATTGCCAAAGCAAAATGTCAGTTTCCCCCCCACACTGACAGGCATGTTTATACACTGCAATCACACTGAAATGATTAATAATTTAATTCAAAGTCACACATTTATAGTATCTGAAAACATTCCGCACAGCAAGAATTTGGAGTTTATCTCTGCGTTTACGTTACAATAGATCTTGGTTTGTTCCTCCCTCATACTTCACTCCCCGCTGCCTCCCTCTCTCTCTCTTCATCCCTCACTCTTTTCTCTTGTTACAGGATTATAGTGCAGAGGGTCAGAGTTGGTGTGTGCTGGACTATGAGGCAGAGATTAGCCTCCGAAGTTCCTGCCTAGCACAGTTCATAAAAGGAAGAGGTGGTGTGTGGGGCAGAGGTATAGGGGATGGAAAGGATGGGATTAGAGTGAATTGAAACTCTGTAAGCAGATCCCTCAGACACCTATCCCACCCCTATCTGGCAAAGATGGTATGACCCTGAATGTGTGTTTGAAGCTCTGCCCTGCCTTTTTGGTAGGGTTCGGCCCAGGAGGAATGCTAACTCACAGAGCTAGTGCCTGTCACGGCTGCTCCGCTCCTCAACCACGCATAGACACAGGTATAGGCACAAACCTAACCACACACACATTTTGCTTGTCACGGCTCCACCACACCAGGCTGGTAATTAAACTCCCACTGATTTATTGAGTGACACCAACAAATCCCAACCCGGCTTTTTTTTTATGACAACCATACTTCCTCAGGCAACAGTCGCCATATTTTTTTTTCTCTTTGTATATATATATATTTTTTTTATGCCGTCTTTGTATGAGGCTCGGGGGCAGGAAAATACTTCTTCCATGTTTTTTCAAAGCATAAGACACAGGAACTCATGCACACATGTACAAATATATCCAACTGAAAGCAGTGTTTGTAACATGCCGTATCTCTCTTTGTCTCCTGCCCTTCAGCCTCAAATCACAAGATTGAAATGAGGTTTTCTATTTTGTAAATGAAGCCTTTGATGCAGTCCAACTATAATTAGGCACTCCTTGTGACAGGAAGCCTGGTGGGTGTCTGGCTGACCAGTTGTGATGACACTGCAAGATGTTTCACCTTTCTAATGACACCAGCGCAACTGATTGACAGCTGACTCTTTAAGCCTCTGTAAACGTCATAAGACTCTGAAAGCCAACGAGTGTCAGAGTTTCTGCTTCCCCCAACCACGGTTGAATTACTCAACTGGCCAAGGGGCAAATGAGTGTCAGGGGACCATCCGGCCTTCACCTATACAATGTCACTCAATGAAACATGTACCAACCAAGAACGGACTGACAATATCCATAAAGAAAGTGAAACCCTACAAAGAGACCCAAACGGATTCAAAAAGACCACAAAGATACTTATAAGAACTAGGAGAAAAGGGCAACCAACCAAAAAAGACATAGAATGACTAGAAAGAGATACAAAATAACTAGTGTCACAAAATGACTACTAAGAGACAACAAAGTAACTACAACGTGACTAGAAAAAGAGATACAACACCACTGCCAAGAAGTTAAAATCAACCACAATGTAAATAAAAAAAGACCAAAATAATTACAAAGAAAAACAACAACAAAGACAATCAAGATGACCACAACAAACATAAAACGACTAAAACAAGATATAATAAGATTTCAAAGAGACCAAAGTAGATACTGTACATAGATGACAATTATCTGCAAAGAGACACAAAGAGACTTAAAAAAATATTATAAAGGGGAAAAACTACCACTTAAGAGCCAAAAAGGACTGCAAGGTACACAAAGCACTCACAAAATGACTCAAAATAACTACAAAAAGACCAAAACACAAAACGACAACAAATTTGCGAAACAACAACATACAGTAAAGATGCTTAACACTTTGAAGTCCTTTTATCCTGCTCATATATGGAAGAGGTCTTTGGGCCTTTGCCCAGGGGCCCGGTGTCTCATAATCCGCCCACGCCCCCAGCATGAGGCCTTTTTGGCTAAACCGCAAGCAAGACTCATGTTTGTATACAGACACTATCATCTAGCGTTCCTCAGTCAGGCAGCATTAGCCGCGGCAAAGGGAGATGAGGGATTGTCGGTGTATCTGATTCCTCTGTAGGGGCTCTGGGATGATGCTCGGGTGGGTGCACGGCTGGGATAAGATCCTCAGATCCTTGGCAGCTGCCAATCACGCCGCTCTCTGAAGTGCAATCAATATCATCAAGCTAACCCGATCTCAAAAGAAAGCGCGTCTCAGTTTATTTGGTGAGAGGAAAAGAAGACGTACATCAGGAAATATGTCATAAAGTATCAATCATTCACACATCTCTTGTATTCTATCTTTTATTTGATGAGTGCTTGTCATCATTAAAGTACAACAAGAAAAGTGCAGGGAGAAGTTTCGGATGGCGATTAGGTAGGCGGGGCGGCAGAGCCCCAGACTGTGGGACTAAAGGTGTGTCACAGGGTGGGGGAAGGGGCGGGGCGGCGGCAGATTTGTGCTGACAGCTCGACACATGGAGGGTTGCCGGTTCCCTCCTGACAGAAAGAACGGCATACTAAATACCTACCTGAGGTGCTACAGATGGAGAAGTCAAAGACAGAGGATCCTTTACAAGGCATTTTGGAAAGCACTATTAATATTTCATCAAAACTGCGTTTACACACGCAAACAAACAAAAAAGGAAGTATGTCGCCTTAATCCGCCTGCAGTCTCTCACTCACACACACACATCTGCTCTGTTCTATACTTCTGATCCCTCTTCACTCAATTTTATTTTCTCTTTGCTGCTTCACCCACAAGCCCTCACCTAGCACTGCATGTTGTTCTCTCACTTTGTCTTCAACTCACGGTAAGTTATTATCACTGCAAAGGATGATGTGTTTTCAATTCAGTTCAGTTTGTTTTTCTGCCCTTAGTGTGAAAAGAAGGAATAAAATACAAAATGTTGGAGTAGATTGGGATCAAGGGGTGAATATAAGTATTTTATTTTACAAGGACTAGGCAAAGGTCTGCACTGTCAGAGTGCCTTTTAATTTAAAGCAGTTTTTTTGGACATTTTCTAATTTTAGAGTAAGAGACCTATGCATATAGTACACTTATCTATTGTTTAAGAATTGGAAAATAATCTTGCCAAGGGCTTTCTTTTTTTTGTAAAAGTATTATGTAGTAAACGTATGTATAATGAGTAGGTCAAATTGTAAGACCACTACTCATTGTGATACACTGTCAAATAATGATCACAAAGTCAGCAGATTAATTTAGTTCCATCAAACATTTAAGCTTGTTCAGCTAATTGTTTTACGACCACAACTTAACTTATTTTGTGCACTCCCACTGCTCTCATGTACATTATTTCCAAATGCAACAGAAAGTTATTTTCCCCACAACTATCAGGCAAACAAACTTAGCGACTAACTAATGAATATAGTAGAGAAGGAAAAAGGGTTGGTGGAGGCCGAAACAGAGCTAAAAGGGGAGTGAATATTGACATGCTTTTCCGGTTATTACCCGTCCCCTTGTGTGTTATGAAGGTTTTTATGATTGTAAACGGTCTGCAGAATCAAAACCCCTCAAAGTACACCCTGTAGGGAGTAAAACTCTAATACAGAAAAGACCTCCCGAAAACGCCTCGTTGGAGATATCTCATTTTCCAATGTTTTCTTCCTGGGTATTGTGACGTAGGGATACCCAGTAGCCACGCCCAGAGCTATGGCCGCACCCTCTGCCAGCCGAACATATATACTGTAGGAAGCTCAGGTTCAGTTCAAAACTACAGTGATGCCAACAAGGGTCTGTTTCCTGTCTTGTGAGGGGAAATCTTCAATGTATGCCTTACCGAGGGCAGAACCACAATGAAGTCAGTGGTTGACATTTCACGGAGCAAAGCTTCGCAAACATTGCAGCGATTCATGCCGGATATGCACAGCGTAGGACACTGAAGGACGATGCTGTTCCTACTTTGTTTGGACTAGCGGGAGATTCGGGTACACAACCTGTAAGTATCCATTGTTGTTTGTGTATTTATGATGTTTAAAACAAACAAGGTATCTACCACGACTGTTTAAATAGGTAAACGTTTTTCGGGCTGCTAAGCCATTGACACAGTGCTAACTGGGCTAACTAAGTTGCTAGTGTTTCCATACATCACCTCCAATGTCAGCAGATGGCCTTTGATGTATCTCATAGCAGGAGTCTGCATTCACACACGAAATGCTCATAGACAGTATACTCCGGGTGATTTACCGTACGGTCAGTCGCGAAACTTAATTACATTATAGTTGTCATTCCGAGCGTGTATGCTACAGAGCTAAACAAGAAGGCTACTAAGAGCTAGACATGCTAGGGAAAACATTGTTTTTATGCCAGCTACAATGAATGACCGAATGTAGCAGACTACCCGTATAAGATTGCAATTGTAAACATGTTCTTGCTAGCCTAATATGAACCACTAGCTGTTGTTCATAGTAGGTTGGCATATTACACTGAACAACTAGCAAACGTAGGTTAGCACATTAATCTAGCTGGCAAGCTAACAAACCTAAAACAACTACATTTCTCTAATATTTTGTGATTTGCATTTGATTTCGTCCAGCCAGATCAGGAAACTCCTGGCGTATCCAGCGGACAACACATGACGGGATGACCACTCTGATGCCTCGTCCTAAAAAGCCACAGCACCAGCTTACAAAGCTCTACGCCTCAAAGGTCTATAATCAAATCTGAGGTTCTGCAGGGTGTGGGGTATGCATGGTGTATATCCTGGCATATAATGTTGTGTGCTACTGTTAGTGTTTTCAGCTAGCTGGCTACATAATGTTGTAACTGTCAGCTAGGCTACCTTTCTAATTTCTTTGCAACAGACGTTTTTCCACTTCGGTAGGCATCATGGCGCAGTTTCCACAAGTGCACCTAAATAACAACAGTTGTAGGTACAGTTCGGTTAGTTAGCATATAACATATACGGCTGTACCGACGCCATTGTAAAAAAAAGCACTGTTAGACATGGGCGGACAGAGTGTGAATACACATACTATACAGAGATGCTGTATGAAAAACCAATGTGAGTTTCGAAAATTGCACAGTATAAATCTATTTTAGTATACCTCAACAATGGAACCTTTAATGTTGCTCATTGATTTGTAAGTAGCTACTCGCAAACAATCACAGCAAACAACATAAGGTGACTTTTATAATATGTTAATGTTTATCAAAAACATCAATTGATGCGCGATTAAAACAGAAAATTGAGAAAATGACCTCATGTACTCTTCATGTGTGTAGTTTCAAGTAAAAAGTCAAAGACAACTTTATTGTCAATCTGCTGTTTGTGTGATACAGACAGCAGATTGAAATGCTGTTTCTCACAATCCCGAGGATTTCTTTTTGTACCAATGAAACAAAATTCCAAAGCCACCCAAAGATAAACATTTGCAGTCAAGTATTTTAATGTATTTAAATGAAATCCTCAACACAAAATCAGATGCAAATTCAATCAGCCCTTTGACCCTACCACTGCATTAACAGCAAAACATAAAGAATTGCTTCCTCTCTGATCACCGAGGGCTTCACTCATTGGACTGTTGGCCGATGTGATCTGAAGCCATCAAAGGTATTTATGCAGCGGGGTGGCGCCGGTTGGCATGTTCACTAAAGGCATGGACTGTTTAGATTATACAGATTTCGGAGAGGTTTGAAATCTGCATTATATGTTCAGTCACAGTTAAACCTAGTGTAAATATTGCAGTGGTATGAGAAACAACCACTTCAATCCACTTAATCCAAACACAAAGTAGCCTGACCTGACTTTACAATATTTCCATAGAACAGAGTTCCCCTTTGTACATTACAGAAAATCTTCATACAGGAAATTAAAGGCACATATGAGAAGATTAACGCACACACTCTGTCTCTCTCTCGCGCACGCTCGCAGACCCACATGGCACGGTGGTAGATCAACATGTGACGGTGAGAGATAGCAGCAGCTTGCCGTCTTCGCCGGGAGCAGCCATTAAATAAACATGTCAAGTTGTGTGCGTTTTAATGATGATCAGCCGAGCCCGCTTTCCCTGTGAAGCGCCAGCCAAAAAGGATCGACACGGTGCAACTCCCCAGACCTCCTCTCTTTCCCCGTCTCTCTGTTTCTGCCTCTCACCGACACTTTGACAGAGATGGAAAGAAAGAAAGAAAGAACAAGAGGCAGGCCCTTTTGAATCAGGTTTGGGGGCTGAGAGTGGGGGGGGGGGAGTTTGGGTTGTTTGTATGATGATTTTTCATGTGAAAAGAAAGAAAAACATCAGTCAAGTGCAGGCTTTTGTGAGGGTTTTAACACAGCTCTATCCCCGGTAGTGTGTGTGGTAGTTAGTTCTGAGTGCTACGTGTTTGACATGAGAGTGAATAACGGGCCGGCTGGTAAACGCTCTGTTTGTGTGTTTACGGCGTTGCGCACCCTTAGGTGAGGCGTCTCTTTCTCTCTCATACTCTATTCCTCCTTCTTACTTCCGTCTCGTCTTTGAAGAGCAGGGGCTCGGCGTCGGATTAAAGTTTGTTTGTTTTACGTTTAGCGAGCGAGAGCTGCCATTCCTCTCCTGCTTTCTCCTCATCTTCTCCCGCACGCCTGACGAACACTCACATTCTCGCGCTCACACACACGGTAAATCTCACAAACACACACCTCAGATCAGAAGTAGTGTGGAGTGCTGAGGCTGCATATGTAAATGCTGAGAGATTGTCAAGTGTCTGGGTGTGCATACATCAGGGTAATCAAGCCAGCGCTGATGGGGAGAGCTCGCTCCAGGAGCAGATCCGCAGTACTGGCAGTCACACAGCCGTCACTGAACTGCTGCCAATAATGGGTTTGAGAGGTGCTGGAGGAGGAGGGGAAGAAAGCATGTGTATATGTGTGTGTGTTTTCACTTGCACACAAACATGCCCATCTGCAAGTTGCCATTTATTTTGCATGGCATGTTTGCATGCATGTATGTTAATGTGACACCTCTATGATAGAAAAGCTGATTGAGAATGTGAAGGTGAAGCCAATCTGCCCACAGAGGCGTTGGAGTTGGAGTGGCACTGAGTTACAATCTGATCGCAAAAAAGGCCCGTGGATAAACTGGCCTAGCTTCACCTTCTGGTGCAAAGCTACTGCGTGCAAAGAAATCACAAGCTTTTACCTATGATCCAACATCATCCTATGATACTCTATTGTTTTTCTGTCTTTGTCACACTAGCCTTTGCCTTAGTGAGCCATACTGTCAAATATCAATTCCAATGCTAGTGCTCTGCAGCACCATTTGTGACTAGTTTACTGTATAGCCTAACATATGGAGCTAATTTCCTGCCATAACTCCACAAAAAAACTAACATGTTTTACAAATGCCCTATGATTCACTCACAAACACATTGTGGTTTGCAAATACAAACACCCTTTACAAACTAATGCATTTTGTTTTGCAGATAAAAAAACGTATCAATCAAACAATCACATTACATTTTCTAATAAATCCTGTTTGAGGAACAAATAAAGCAGATATCTTACAAGTACACACAAATATAGCTATGCAGTTTTTGAAACAAGATTTATAAGAAAAATGTAATATGTTTGTTTGATATGTATGTTTTTCATTTGCAAAACAAATGCATTAGTCTGTAAATGGTTTTTTGTATTTGCAAACAACATTGTGTTTGTTAGTGAAATATAGGGCATTTGTAAAACATGTTTAGTTTGTTTGTGGAGTTATGGCAGGAAATGAGCTCCATACTAAAACCATTGTTATACCCAGTGTCAGATGATGCACAGCAAAAAAATGGCATAATTGTCTTGTCTGATATTCGTATATGACTTGAGTACTTCCATATCAAACCGTATATGCCACAATAATGATAGCTATTGGGACTATATGATTCTTGCATACTTAAAAACGTACTTTCATCTTATACTTTTACATTTTCTAGTGTAAAATAGTTTTTAGTTACTTATGGCCTACTTCAGACCTGTTATACATTTATGAGGAAAACCGTTCCTAATAAATAGAAAAAAGAAAAAAAAAAACAGATGCAAATGTGATAAAACGATCCATTTTGTTTGGCTGATTCCGAAAGATTGTAAGCTAGCTAACATTGGCAAACGGTTGATATTCAAGCGTAACTGATAATTGAAGTAACGCATCTAAATATTTTATTGAATCTAACCATTTTTCAGTTGCTGGCTTAGTAAATACAAAATGTATAATATCATCACAAAATGAAACATTTATGCATTAATGCTAATGCTGTGTACGCGGTAATGTCAGAACTTGGAAAAGCTAGTGCTACCGACTCAAGGATACTACCTCAACTACTACTGGAAATGTTATCATAATCCATCGTATGCAATACCCTACTTTTCTGTATCCCCCCTCTCACCCACACCTCATACCATAGTATAGTACCCTATCTCGTCCTTTGACTTTGCCATGTTATTCATGCTTAGCCCTACAATGCTATTCTACTCCTTTATCTCATCCTAGTATGTCACGCCCTGCTCTCTTATTGTATCCCACACTAGTCTATTCCCCTGCCTGGTGAGAGCACTGGCACGTCTGATCAACTAAACAGATCCCCCAGCAGGCCTTGCTCTTCCCTGTGGAGAGCCCGGGATTGGGAGGGATGTTAACATTGCATTACAGTACGCCGGCACGTACACAATGTCCTCAATGAACGACACGGCTTTATCTGTCTCTCCTGGGATCTTGCCGATGCCTCTTACTCTCTCTCCCTCTCTATTTCTATGATATTCTCACTGTCCTTTCCCCTCACCTCCCCCCTCCTTTTCACTGCACACATGTGCGATAGACAGAATATCAGGATTACTGTTTGAGCTGACATAGTGACATGGTGTTAATCGTCAGAGTCGTGTTTGTTTCCGCCCAGAAACTGTCACCCTCTAATAACGAGGCCCCAAAACCCAACACAATTGGCGCCGGAATGGCAGGAGTGGCACAATAGGCACAAAAACCCGGCAATCTTGTCAACATATACAAATGGATGGCATGGAAGGAAGCCACACACATCCCCCTTTTCTCTTGTTGTCATAGAACACACATGTGTACCCTTCATTTCTTCTTCCTGAGTGGTGTCAGCAGAGGCCTGCAATTAATTTGTGTAATTGCCCCCCACACATATCCATCCCAACACCACCTACCCCTCCATCCCACCCTTTCAACCCTACTTGGCAATGCAGTCGTCCTGTTTTAACCCCACTACCACAAGTCACAGACACATATATACACAAATCCCAACAGCTTTCTTTAAGGTCTTTTATTGGGTACCAATATGCTACAGAAACATAATTAACCCCAAAATCTGTATTATTGTAGACATGGCCAATTTGTTTTGAACGTTATCCAATGGGTTTTGAAAGGTTTTAACACAGCGTCCACACGGCAGCGAAGCGACGGAACCACAATGCAGTTCGGCAAAGCGTGACGTCACCCTCATTCAAAGTGGGAAGAAGAAGCGTTGAAGCTTTAACGCACGCCGCCGTGTGGACGGACCATAAGGGCTTAAATAATGCAAGAACTGAATTATTTTTACTTGATCTTAAATAATTAATATTAACAGGGTTGTAATTTGTCGGAACAGATTATGCATACCTTGATATTGTGTACTTCAAGACACAAATACT